CCTCTCATAATTACAAAAAAATGAACAAAATGAAAAATTATGATTAGTTGAATGCGGTTTGCACGGTTTGTACAAATTGAGTGGTTTGCATTTGATCGCTCCCCTATATATATATATATATATATATATAGAGAGAGAGAGAGAGAGAGAGAGAGAGAGTCGTAACCATTTGAGCACTTCAAAATTTATGAGATTTATCATAAACCATTAATTTAGTATAATTAATATTATTAATCAGTGGGATAACTATCATTATTTATTCAATAAAAATTAATGCATATCTTTAGAAAATTCCATATATATCTTTCTATCTCCTCTCCTAGTAACATACAAATGCACAACAAAACATGCACATAAATTGAAGATATCGTGAACACAATGTAAATAAGCTTAAACTTTTTTATTAGGGTGTTCACAGAATTCACATGGTGTTTACAAATGGTAGATTTCGATTTTGTTTTATTGATTTAGTTGGTGTTCACAATATGTTCGTCAAGTATAATAATCTTTCAAAGAAAATGTCCACAATATCTTCATCTTGTATGCATATTCAATTATTTGTATGTATATATATTTTATGGAGAGATGAGTGAGAAGAGTGGAGAGAGAATGAGATCAAAGAGAAGGGTTTTTAACTTAATAAATTTTATTTTTTAATTAATTTTTGTGGTATAAATTGTATCTTACGAATCTCAAAGGAGAGCGCGACATGAACTATATTTGATAAATGATACAACATGCATGAACTATTTATGATAAATAATACAACATGCATGATCAATAATTCACGATCATAATTCATGTTAAATTAATTCAATATTCATATTGAATAATACACATTCATCGTAATGATATATTATTTATGACGAATAAATCATAAAAAAATGTGAGATATGTGACTTTTGTGTTTAAATTTATTGGTGATATAAACTCTTATCTTAGCTTGCGTTGATCTGTTAAAGACACGAAATTAATTGTGTTGAAGCATATATAAAAATAGACTTAAACCTAATATATTAAGAAAATAAAATAAAATGTCAACACCATAAGAAGATGATGCCTACTTGCGGACGAGCGAACCCCATTCCATTAATTTACTATTTTTGTCTTAAGGCTTATAAGATTTAATAAAGAGTGTTCAATATTAATTAGATTCACATTTCTCAATATATATATATATATATATTGAAATAATATTTTTTCTAATTTTATATATATATATATATATATATATATATATATATATTCTTCTGGAATTAACCGGAATCTATCAAATCTCATGTTTAATGTTTTGATTTATTTATTGACAAAGAAAATACTTATATTTTTATTATGGTATTATTTATATTTTTAACTGAGTTGTTTGTTTACCTTTTAATAATTTCATTAAAAGATAATATTTGAATCGTTAAGAAGTAAATCTTGTTCGGTAAAATTTTTTTTGCTTGTTAATGGTTCTAAAATCCTATGAATGATTTTGTATTATTGGTTTTCCTTAACCATTCAACGACCTAATTTTATTATAGATAATTATCAAACAATTATATTTCATTTGTACTGTATCATGAAAGCCTTTTAATCATTATGACCGTTTATTCATTCTGCACTAAATCATTCAAGAACGACCAAACAGCCGCTTATAATCAAAATCCAAGTATTTGTGTGGTTAAAAAAAATATACCAAGGGAATATTAGTTAAAAAATAAAGTAGCAGGAAATAACGAAATAGGAAACACTGAATGGTATGTGATAGGAATGTTACGATGGCCGGTTAGACCAGATAACATCTTTGTCCTTTTCTCGCCGGCGACAATTGCCTTAAAAAATCGATCGCACCTCTGCCACACGAATTCAGGCAAGCGTAGCCATGGAGACAACGTTGCCATACGCGGATGTCGATTCACGCTTGAGAGCTATGGCCGGTCGGGCCGAGGGTTTTGGCCGTTTTGCAGTCGGTGGCGCTCATGGTCCTGTGCATTCCGTTACATCCTTGGCCGGTAATATTATCTGATTTTACGAGATCTTTTAAATTTCCAGTAGTATAAATTATATTTACGGTGATGCATTTGTATTGATTATAGTTTTTTATATGAATGAATTTTCCGTATCTTGTCCTGATTTTTGCGTTGATGCATCAGAAAATTGCTGTTAGCTTCTAGGAAAGCTTCACTCTGACTTTGTATGGATATTAAATTTGCTAGTTACAACTTCAAATTGGATACGAAGACCAATTTTTAGCAGAATTAAATGCCGATGGGATCATGCTGGTGTGTAATTGTAGCAAACTCCAAATAATTTTCAATCTGATAGCTAAGGTCTAATACGTGTTCCGTTGCTCAAATAGATAATCTCTCACTTCATTGAAAATTTTCAAGACACGTAGTTTAGAGGATATGTATGGTTAGGAGGCTATTAGCCTATTACCATCATTAGCTTATAGTTGTATTAGGTAGTATACTTGTTTCTAGTTTTTTTTTTTTCTCTCAGTATTGTATCCTCCATAATATCTCATCAATATACATAGATACATTGCCACGGAAGACCTCAAAGTTCATCTCTCTTTGTTAAAATCTCATGGCACTAGACACACTCGTTGGCCTCTGTTCTAGTGGGCACCATCTAGCCTCTAAACGAGGGGGCATGTTGAATTCCCACATCGGCAAGAAATGGGCCATCGTACCTGTATATATGTAGGAAACTTCCATCTTCCATTTTGGCTCCTTTAGTGATAGATTTAAAGAGATTCCACATATCCTAACAGCCTTAAACACCTTCAATAATGATAAATAAAATCTTGTGGACTCCGATCAATTTCAATAATGTAATGATGACAATGACTGAGTAAGTAATTTAAGCTTTAAAAGTTTACTAAACAAGACATGATAAGACGAAGACTGGTTGATTCTAAGGTGGGTGATTAGCAGCTGTATCCGCATCAAACCTACCATCTCTTCTCACGAAAGTCTTTCCTTTTTGCAATTTTCATGGGAAGGGAGAACAACATTTCAGAAATTGTTCCTTCCTTTTCTATTTCTAGAGGTCTCCATATGTATCATGATAAACTTTGTGCAGTACATAATGAAAATTGAAGTGGTTGGTAACATGGAAAGACAGCAAATACTTAGGGGAATCAACAATATTGTTTTTAGATATTTAAGTGAATATGCCAATGCTTGAATAAATGTCTCGTACCACTTGTTGTGAAAATTAAGAGTGACATTTATAATTTATATTGAAACTTCACACTAGGCTGTCTCTCACTCATACATGCATGTGGCAGTGTGTTACCGGAACCTTGTGCATTTGATTCTTATTTTGGTTGGGTTTCACATTTCACTTAAGTCGGTAGTTGAATTCAAGTAAACAAGTGCTGATTTATTGTATAAGTCTACCTTTATAGCAATGATACTGAAGCAATCAAGCAAGTCGAGTTTGATATAGCAAGTTGAGCTGGCCACATGTCCTTGATTTATACCCTCAACAAGAAGAACATTATCCACTGAATCTTAAAAATGGTTGATAAAAAGGAAGAAAAAAGCAATATTTTTTACCTCCTCATCACTCAATTATGAGCAGCAACAAGATCATGGTTATATCTTATCTGTGGGAGGAGAAAAGGGTTTAATGGGAAATATACTCTTCATTCTTTAAAAATTATTTCCATCTAATAGCAACTTCACCTCCTTCATGAACATGATTTCAGTTTTGTTCCTTAAGAGGTTCCCAAGTTATTTTTGGAGTTCTAGAGGCTAAAGATAATACTCCTTCTGTTGTATTGATGTCTTTGTAGATGATGGGCCAGGATCACTTCGTGAAGCATGTCGCAGGAAAGAACCATTATGGATTGTCTTTGAAATTTCAGGCACTATTCATCTGTCATCCTACTTGAATGTGTCATCTCATAAGACTATTGATGGTCGTGGCCAGCGTATAAAACTGTCTGGAAAAGGTTTACGGCTAAAGGAGTGCGAAAATATAATTATATGTAACCTGGAGTTTGAAGGTGGTAGAGGACATGATGTTGATGGTATTCAGATTAAACCGAACTCAAAGCACATTTGGATAGATCGCTGCAGCCTGCGTGACTATGATGATGGACTTATAGATATAACTAGACAAAGTACAGACATTACAGTTTCCAGGTCAGTTCAAGTTTTTCTGATATGCTATGTGATGAAATATTGCCAATGACTCCCAGTTCTGATGAATTCTCTAATTCCTGCTAGCAGGTGTTACTTCGCAAACCATGACAAGACAATGCTTATTGGAGCTGATCCATCTCATAGTGGTGATAGATGTATTAGAGTGACAATTCATCATTGTTTTTTTGATGGGACACGGCAAAGACATCCTCGTCTTCGATTTGGGAAGGTTCATCTTTACAACAATTACACCAGAAACTGGGGAGTGTATGCTATTTGTGCTAGTGTTGAAGCACAGGTAAATGTATTTTGGTACTTCAGCATGTTATCTATTTCAGTCTATGGTAATGTTAGGATCAGTAAAAACACACACAGAGACTTATCTCAGGATATGGAAAGCATCGCTGTTCAACAATTTGTTGTACTAGCATAGATACAACGAAGGAACGCAACCATTTCATAATAAGAAACCAGACAATAAGAGGATAGACAAATAAAAATGTCATTATTAACTGTAGTAACTGTTTCCTTACTATGTTGGATCGGCAAAGTCATAGACTAGTTTACGGTTCAAATTAGGCTCCATATCGAACAAGCAAATAATGGATTAAAATAGGAGGTCATTTATCGAAGTTCATTTTTCATCATGCAACTCTTTTTTTGTGTTTTCACCTCAGATATACTCTCAATGCAACATCTATGAAGCAGGGCAGAAGAAAAAAGCTTTTGAATTTTATACGGAAAAGGTGACCTCATCCAACCTTTGCTCCATACTTTATTAATAATTGTTATTACTTCCCGAATATGTATATAGAAAAGAACCTCATGATTGCACTTGAGGGAGTTTTAGCACCTAATATGTGCATGGAGCTCAAAGTGACTCCAAATTAAAGTGAATGGAACTCAAAGTGCCTCCAAATTCTTCCATATTTATTTGTTGTTTACCCCTAATCTGTAAGCCTTCATCAAGTTTACATAAACAGGCAACAAAACCATCAAATGGTTAGAATTTTGGTATGCAAGATTCTTAAGATGACCCAACCATATGCTTACTTTAACCTAGACAAATTAAAGCTAAAAAAAGATAGTTACTGGTTCATTGCATAATCACCAGCAACTACTCAATGTATATGTTGTTAGTTATAATTTTTTTCTCATGACACGGCTATTTTTATTCAGGATTTGAGCAACTGTTTTGTCAAAAACTTTTGCAATGACTCTAAGCGAAAAAAAATTCTAGAACACCCAGAAAGAAGCCTGACCATTTTCTTAGTCTTTTAAGTGTCATTTTTAATAATGAAGGGAATTAAAGACCCTTGGTTACAAAGACTTTTGGCATATCATTATTCAAACATTGCAAAAAAATCAAGCCTGGAGCGTCATCACTTAATTCAACACGAACAAAATACAATCTAAATTACAATTTTCGTGTGCGATGTAAGGAAGTCATTACCTTTGCAAACAAAAGAAGTTATAGCCACAATTAGTATGAGGTACAACACAATGTAACTATTATATCACAAAAGTTGTATACTGCAATGGATTCTCAGGTGGTCTAAAGTATTGTTTTGTATCATCATTAGTTCATTGATACTTGACGTTACATAGTCTGTTTGAAAAGAAGCTTCTTGAGTTAGATACCCTGCAACATAATTTCGTAGTCTATTGTCACTTAACTCCTTATGTGACTGCCGATTATTGACTTCTGTTTGTTAGTTTATCTATGAACCTTCCTTCGGATTCACTAACGGTGATGTTGCTTAAACTTTTTCAGGCAGCAGATAAGGAGGAAGCAAGGTCTGGTTTGATAATCTCAGAAGGGGACTTGCTCTTAAATGGAGCTCAACCATGCCCATTGAGGGAAGCCAATGGAGAACGCATGTTCCACCCTAGCGAGTTTTATCCGATATGGACAATGGAACCAGCTTCTGATTCATTGAAACACATTCTTCATATCTGCAGTGGTTGGCAATCTGTTCCAAGACCATCTGAACAAGGTAATGCTCTTGTTACTTGATAATTTTGTCATAAATCAATCATAATACATTGGAATTTTGCTTTGGTGTATAGTTTAAATGCTTGCTTGCATATTATATTTTGCTATTATTGTCGTAATTAAAAATCATTAATGATGTTTAGGAATAACGATAGGGTATATTTTGCTAGTGTTAATTTAAGGCCATTCCCCTAATTATTGTTCTATGTGGGTGTTATTAGAGTAAGGGCCGTTTACCTAAACACTCATCCGGTAAGCGCTTAACGGTAAATTTCAACTCTATCTTTTACTTATCGGATAAGATTTTAGTCTACCAAACGACATCGTATGTAATAATTTACCCGGTAAGCGCTAACCGTGGTAAGAGTTGTCGCCATCACTTACCGGGTAAGACTCTCGGTTCGTGACTTCGCTATTACCAGACAAGATTCTTGGTCCTTGTCATATTCATCCGGTAAGAGAATGTGACTTGATAAGCACTTACCCGAGTAAGCATTTGGTAAACGACCCCCAAGTGTAGGCTTTTTTCAAGTATATAATATTTATATACGGTAAATGCAACAAATAAACTCACACCCTCTCGTCACATTTGGTGAGGTTTGAACTCTTGACCTCCCATGAAGGCCAAAGGTCCAGATACCGCTAGGCCAATGGCCCTTTGGTAGGAAGTGTAGGCTTTCATGTTGGCTCTATTGGACATATATTCAATGGTTAGAAAGTTTGAGCAAAGTCAATGAAAAATTTGTCAAGCAATGGCTTGTTTTTGAAGAAATTAGTGTATGTACACAAAGAAGTACGGAATTATGACTTGTAATGTTGGCATACAACTTTTACGTCAATGAGTAGGAAGAAGTTAAGAGATGAGTTTGTCAACTATGCCTCTTGAGGGATTTCAACTAATGTTTTGAAGTAATGGTGGTGATATTGTGATCTTACTTTTAGGATTCATTTCAATTTGAATAGAAATCAACAGAAAAAGCTTTGTTGGGTGTTATTGGTTCATGTAAGTTGTGTATTTCTTGACAAAAAAGAATTTTGTTTGATTCAAATGTATGTAACATTAGATTTATTCCTTTACAAGGCAAGTTTTGTCTGAATCAAAGTTTTGTCAATAGGACCGGTCTGATCCTTTGGGCGGACCAGTCTTATTTTTCAGACCAATGACCGGTCGAGAAATTGACTTAACTGTCCATCGAACTGGTCAAAGATCAATCGAAGACCGATTTGAAAGGTATGGGTGTCCAAACTTGTTTGGAAACAACAATAAAGAAATGGTGCCAGTCTAGGATCAGTTAACGACGTCAGACCCAAATCAATCACAAATTTCGGATCGAGGACGGAATCCTTTTTGGCTTGTTAGGGACGGCCCAAAAGGAACAAACCAAGGACTCTGCCCTTAGATATGGTTCGTTTCCTTACATGAGTTTCGAGTTGTGACCATTTCTAACGGTGTTAAGTCCAATGGTTACAAAAAGTTCCTGACGGTATTAAGTCCAATAGTTACAAAAAGTTCCTGACGGTAAAGTCCAATTGTTACAAAAAAGTTCCTGACGGTGTTAAGTCCAATGGACTAAACCACAGGGACTAAAACACGTATAATTGATAATTACTTTTATTTGAATTATTATAACATTACAACAATAGTATTTTTGTATTTTCTATATGAAGAGACCGGAAAACTTGCAATAATGACAGTACGGGTAAAGTCAATGAATATGACCACGAGCTTCTTACAACCGCCGATGTTCCCGGGAACAGCTCCGACAAATATTTTGCCATGTTTTCCGGCGAAAGTCTGATCAACATTTTCACACACCTCTCGTCTTCACCTAACGTTATTAAATGCGTGCCGTAAAATTCCTCATACACTGGTACCAGTTTGTGCGCGATTGACGCCTTCATCTTGTCTCTCATCTTTTCGTCAACAACAATCCAGGACGTTTGCTTCCCGTACACCTCCTCAAACGTTGAGTATAACCTCCTGAAACAATCCCTCACCTTCTCCGGCGATACCAAAGGATTCTCCGGTAAACATGAGATCACCTTATTCCAGGACATAGATTCGTAGCTTGATACATATTGCTTCAACTTCTTATCGTGGTTCGTCATCCATTCTTCTCCTAGAATAAATTTTAGATTTGTTGCACGGACCTTCTCGATGATGTAATGGAGGTTGTTAACCAGAAAGAGATACGATAGTGCCACGTAGTTGTGAAACTTGGCTTTGCCGTCCAGCTTGCAGAGAAGAACGCGAATGATCCATGCCAGCTTGACAGAAACCGGATGCGGTGAAATTTCGTCGGAGGTTTGTTCCCTGAACTGAGAATCATCTACGATGACGTCACTTAGGGCACTGCCGTAATCAGACAGAGATGATAAGTAAGTCATGACGGAATTATTTAACGGATGAATTCCACCGTCGGATACTGTAAGTTTGGAAGAATTTTTATGGATTGATGATTCCAACTCGACCAGAGCCGTTCTGACGGAGTCTCCTAGTTTGTGAAGAGACGTCAGAGCTTGTATTTTTACTGAGGAGACAGATTCGTTTGAGAAGATTGACTCGATTTCTTGCCAGAGATCTGAGATCGAATTGTATAAGTCCATCATCATGAAAATTGTCTCCGATTTCGGTCTCTTGCATCTGGCTATGTGTTCGGGAAATGCAAACAGGTTCAGGGCTCCTTCTTTCGTTGAGTTTTCGAAACATGAATCTCTAATTCTCACCGATGAAGTGAAAATACGATCACCTAGAAACTTCTCTCTGTGGAAGAGTGTTTTCACTGCGATTTGAACGGCATTCAGCCAGTTTTTGACATGATCGTCAAAATGTGGAGCATTTATCATCTTGTTGATTTGAGAGGAACTGTAAGGTTGGATTCCAAGATGAAATAAAGCTTCATCAATGGTCGATTTTCGTATGATTTTGTACAATACGATACACTCTTTGCCATAACCACAACTAATCATCGTATCAGCAATCAACCGAAGATTTGAAATGGCAATCATAGACGGTTGCTTAACATCAGAAACCGAGATCTGTAGTTGCCGTTCTTCTTCAGAATCGATGCTGGTTCGAGAAGACCCGCTAGAAACAGATCCAGGCTCCAAGTCCTCACGAGTATCTGATAAAATCAGATGAAACTCTCTCTCGAGTCGTTTCATTGCGATTTGCATCAGTCTCTGTGCAAGTGAGAGCTTCTCTGATCTCAAATCATGTGATACGAGAAAACGCATGGCTCGGTGTAGTCCTGTGATGCAGTTGATGAAAACTGTGGCTTCTTCCCTGCTTTCATGGAAAATGGAGATGAATCTGGTGCTGGAATGATCATCAATTTCCCATTTTTCGAGGATGGACTCTGCGTGTTTTATGGTTTCTTCCATCATATATTCAGATGAAGAAGATGAAGAAAAGGAAGAGGAAGTGAAAGAAATGGTGGTGGTGAAAGAGAAGCGACTCATAAGATTTCTAGGTTTTTGATTCAATGTGTTTGGGGATTTCTTGATCGTGTTTTGGGTTTTAGAGATGGCCATTGAGATTGATTCCTTTGAAAAAAGGGGCTTGGTTTGGTTAGAGATACGAGTAGGGTATGAGGGGGAGTTTAAATAAGGAGGGAAAATTTGAAGTGCACGGTTGGCATAATTTCTATAAGAGTGAATTACACTAATGGTCCCTCTGGTTTGCTCAAATTTCAGATTTGATCCCTAAAACAAATTATCCAATGGTTCCTAACTTTCCATTTTCATAACATCCGTGACTCCTCGCCTTAACAATATTAATTAACAACTCATTGGTCTTTAAACAAACTTTAGAGACCAAAAATCCACTCTAATATATAATATAATCCATGTTTTTAAAAAAAAATTATGAAAAAAGTATTTTATATATCATTATCTATTCACAAATCAAATATATTAAATAAAGTAAATATTAAATAAAAATCTTTATATTTATTTGAAAAATATAAAATTCACCAAAAAAGATTAGCGTTAAACTCAAGTTTGGAAAAATAAAGGAAATCTAAATAAATTCACATATTCTTTTGAGTTGAGAATTAAAATATTCGAATAAAATATTAAAACTTAAGTTCGGTTAACTGAGATTATTAATATATAGTCAAATTACAAATAATTACAATAACAATATAAAATAAATTATAAATTAAGATTAAAAAAACACTAAAACAATTAAGAAAAACTATCACTGCAAAGAAAATTAGGTTTATATGACGCCAAAAAAATTAGGCGTCTTAATACACCACTTTATAAGACTTGATTTGTAGAACAAAAAATAAAGTGTGTTATCTAAATGCATTGCAATAAGTTTACGAGATGTTTTTAGACGTTCTAACAAGTTTTTAGAATACTTATAATACACAGTATCACATTAACAACTTTATATGACACTAGTTAAAAAAGTTTTCTATTAAAACAAATGTCCTATAAAAAGATGGATTTTTAGGACGCTTAATTTTTTTGGCGTCATATAAACCTAATTTTGCTGTAGTGATAGTTTTTCTTAATTGTTTAAATAATTAGTCTTTTTCTAATCTTAATTTATAACTTTTATTTTGTTAATAATCTCTTGTTAACCGAAATCAATTTTCAATATTTATGTTCACGTATTTCAATTCCCAACTCAAAAATATATGTGAATTTATCTCGATTTCTCTTGTTTTTTTTAACTTGAAAACTGTTAACGTTAATCCTTTTTATGAATTTTATAGTTTTTAAAATCAATATAAAGGTTTTTATTTAATATACACTTTATTTAAAATATTTGATTTGTGAATTGACATAAAATATTTTTTTAATAAAAATTTAAAGAAAATATGAATTACATTATATATTAGAGCAGATTGTATTTTTTGTCTCTAAATTTTATTTAAAAATCCATGAATCCTTCGTAATGGTTTGTTAATTAATATTGTTAAGTTAAAAGATCATTGATATTATAAAAATAAAAAAAATTAGAAACCACTATTATAGATAATTTATATTAAATAACAGATCCAAAATTTGAACAAACGACGTAGTGTAATTCACTCTTTTTGTAATCAGACTGTGAGTTGACGTTGATAACATGTGGCAAGTAGGGCATTGGATTTGACTTCTCTTTTGGTCAACAAATCGCTTAGTGCACCACGACTTATTTTTTCTTTTATGCAAATATCAAACCATCAAAATTATTTGTATAACTACATATTTTCCCCTTTTTTCTATTAACCTATATATTCAATCTGTTAAGTAAACTGACTAATACTAAGACGACCATTTGTTTTGCGGGTAGCCTAAATTCATCGCATTTGAATCTCCGTGGTTACAAAAGGATTTTTATTTCTTCTTGTATTTGAACCTGAGACCTCCAGACACTTTTGATCTTTGGAGTCAAACTCAAACCAATCAGTCACCATCCTTGTGGTTACATTTTTCCCGACGAGCCGTCTATCAAATTGTCGTAATTGATGTCCAATCCTTAAGACAAGGAATAGATATTCGGAAAGTAGGTTGTTATGATCTTATCAGGAAACAAATTTATTTAAACATCCACGTTATTCTTTATTTTCTTGAAAAAGACGCTCAGCCTACAAGAACCTGTTTATATATATTTTTTTACTTTAGAAAATCCTTTAAAAATGTATCCAACTGGTCATTGCTATGGCATGTGAGTTTTCAAAATTGTTATTACAATCGACACTAAAAACATATATACAAACATAACATGTTTTTATATATAAAATAACAAAAACCAATTAATAACTTTTAATAATATGGTGTACTGAACCATTTACGGTGGTTTGTTTTATCAGATCTGGTTTAGAGATGTCTGTTTTCAACTTAATAAATTTAATGAATGGTTAGCTTAATTGGTTAAGTTATATTAAGATGTATGATTTTAGCTTAATACTAAAAGATTGACTTAATATGTTAAGTTAACTCATCTTATCTTAATGCCTTAAGTTACCCTTATCCTACAATTGTTAATTATACTTCTCATTAAAAAATAAATAGTTATCAACATTCATAAAATAAAAACTGTAATCAAACAATAATACTTTATCATTGTAAATGTATTTAAAGTTATTAAATATTGAATTATGAACTCGTTGAATTCATATTATTTAGGATACGACCATAAACAATGTTTAATCAAATCTATAACATGTATAACAGAAACTAATACAACAATCATTATGGTTATCAGTGATTTCCCTTATCGTATCACATTTTCAAAATATATAATTAAATTGAAAAGTTGACKTGTTAGGATTGACGATCATAAACACGATAAGTTCAATTGCAAAAAATAAACGAGTTAATTCTCGAAATACAAAGCTATTAAATGTAATTAATATTATGTTTATAAAAAGTCAATTGTAATTTATTCCAACGAGGAATTAAAAATAAAAACATGTCAAATTTCAATTATAAATTAATGATTTTGAAACCAAAATTTGAAATTCAGAGATTACTTCAAAATTAAATGTCGTACGTTTAAAAACACATAATTCAAGTTCAATTGCTAAATGCAAGTGGGCAGGGGAGCAAGTGGAATGAGTTTAAGTTATCCAACTTGTTTGGTCAGCTACTTAATATATACATATTATTTATATTTATATTTATATTTATATAGGAGGTCATTTAAGGAAAAACTCAATACTCTATGATAACTGTGAGATTCAATCTTAATATAAATTAATGAATAAATTAGGAAATTAATAATTTTGACTTAAAATTTTAATTAACGGGCATTTATCTATTTTAGAAATTTTATCTCTCATCTCTCCATTCTCTAGTGAACGTTATGAATACCATGTGAAAACAATATACATAATGTGATGCTTAAAAAACATCGACATTGTTTAAAAAGATGCATACTATGATACCTTTTGTAAAGCAATGAAAATAACAAAAATGTATATTGTGATACCATCATAAAACAACGAAAATAATAAAAATACATGTTCACATAATTGTGATATATTTTCTAAAGCAATGCTACATGATATACTTCGAAAATACACATAGTGATATACTTAATCGGACATAACCCATCTTGAGTTGGCTTTACACAGACAATCAGTACATAATGCGGAAACAATCTGAAGCCAAAAAGCATCAAAGAGTGGGAAGAGAGTTGTTAAATATGAAAAGAGAGGGAGGGTTGCTAAATAATTTAGGCTATGCAAACTAGCTGATAAGCTAGTTGGTAAACAAATTATGTTTGGCAAAACTAGCTGATAAACAAATTATGTTTGACAAAACTAGCTGATAAAAATGTAAAATGACAAAAAAAATATCTTGAAAAATTAATCAATTATAATATTTTAAAATATATTTCTAATAATATAATATATTAACTAATACAAACAAGATGGTAAATAAATTAAAAAATATGATATATTGATCAAAAGNTTGTATTAGTTAACATATTATATAATTAGAAATTTGTTTTAATTATATTATTCAAAATTTATTTTAATTAAATTATGAAATATTTGTAATTGATTATTGTTTCAAGATATCATTTTTGGTCATTTTACATGTTTATATGCTAGTTTTGTCAAACATAATTTATTAATCAATTAACTTATCAACTAACAACTAGGTTATCAGATAGTTCGTCAAATATAGTCTTAACTTACTAATTGAGCATGATGTGAATCAAGAATCCCACCTGGTACAAGGTATAACGAGGATCGAGAGTCTTACCCAGTAAATACAAAAAAAAAAAAATTCTTACACATTAAGCGAGGGAGAAAACTTTTATCAGATAGGCAAGTAAGCGTTTACCGGTTTTACACTTACCAACAATATGTATTGATGGCCGAGAATGTTTCATGATAAGGTAAATGAGAGTTATCTTTTTGCCGATAAACGACCCATTATCTGGACAACACACGATCAACACTTAAACCAAATTTATTTTTCTGGTAAACATCTAACATCTTATTTAGATAAATTTTAATATATGACGAGTTTTTGAGTTAAATAACCATTTCCGTCATTTAAATTGGTTTATTAATTTGGATATGTGAAATAATCCATTTAAGCTAATTTGTCTTGTATTAAAGGTGAAGGGTAATTAAAGACCTTCTAGCCTAGTGGTAAAGGCTTGGGCATGGGATAGTCATGAACCCAAGTTCGAACATTGGGAGGGGAGTGTTGGCGACATTTAAGTAGGGCCATGTTTAGCCTACAAATTTACCGGGGATTAGTCGGGCTTTGACCCGAACACCTTTAAAAAAAAAAAAAAAAGGTGAAAGGTATGATGGCCTTTTTGAAGTCCCACCATACATTCATTTAGTGGTGGGTGAAACCAATAACCCTTTATTGCTTATAGAAATGGGGTCTCCCCGTAACCCTACGCGTGCTTTTGCAAATTATATCTCATAATTAAGAAAAGCAACAAAAACGATATCCATGGATTTCATATTATTATTATTATTATTTATATAGGTAAAGATTTATTTAAGAAAATTACATATTTAGAAGTAAAAAAGTGGTCCTAGCATTTTATCTGATCAATATTT